GGACCTGGAGCTGCTGGCACGGAGGCAGGTGGACCCATGTATAAGAGGTGGCCGGCTGGGGGGTGGGGTCCCAGAGATGCCAGCATGGAGGCCAGTAGGGGGGCATGTGCCGGAGCCTGCGGAGACAGCCTTTCTCGTCGTGGAAGCCAGGCGGCAGAGCACGCATGCACATGCCTGCAGGAGCTGGTGGACAGCTGGCGCATGCGCAGTTGAGGGAAGTTGAAAATCTCGTGACAGACCGACAAGAACGGTGATGGCTTAAATAGAAAGATTGTCTAATAAGGACAGTTATGTCAAAATAACTATCTAATGTAGACGAGGGCTTAGAGATAAACAAAATATATATAGATTGTATCATGAGCTTTCATGGGCACAACCCACTTCTTCAGATGAATGGAGCAAGGGATCCAGGGGTACAAATATATAGAAGAAAAGTACTGTCCTTCATAGGCAAGTTTGACATATTCACCCAAGGATTGAACAAAGACATTTCTTTGATGGGCCGTTCAACACCCAAATGACCTCAAAAGCTAAGTTATCAGGCACTTGCAGCCTACTATATTAGCTTAATTTAGCATGGACACTTTGACAGGTGTTGTTCCCTCTCTTTTTTCTGCTGTATATTTGTACTCCTGAATCCCTTGTTCCATATTTGTGATCTGAAGAAGTGGGTTGTACTCAGGAAAGCTCATGATATTGTCTATATTTTTTTGGTTAGTGCTACAGGATCATTTGTTGTTTTATTTTTTTTTTTGGTTGCTTTTGTTTTAGTGAAGGCCAGATACTTAAATGGAATTTTACTGCTTGGAGAATTCTGCACCACTGTGCACATGCAAAATTCATATTCCCTGTGGATTTCTTTGCTTCCCTCTGTCAGATTGTTTTGGGCTTCCAGAACAGTGAGCAGGGAGGTGAATCACTTTGGGGATGGAGGTAGGGGAGGCTGGGGTTGCCCTCGTAGGCGATATTACCCTGTGCTGAGCTGCTTATCTCAGCTGGGCTCTGGGGAGGATGGGACTTTCCAGGTCAAACCCACCTCCAGAAATCTCCCGACTGCACGAAGCTCCACACCCATCTTCCTACCCCTGTTGTTCCTCATCTGTAGAGAGCATGGGGGTCACTGTAATGGGAGCTGTTTCCCTATCCCTTCTGCATCTGCACACCCAGAATCAAGTCTCCCAGGAGCCTTTATCTCTCCCTCCTCCCCACTGTGTCAGGACCCCTATTCTTGCAGCCAGACTGCACTTTGTATTGAAACCCCC